GTAGACTTCTTAATATTTGAAATTATTTTTCTTGGCTTTGGTCAGATCTGATTTGTTGGCATTACCATTACTTTCTAATGAATCTGCAAAAGGACTCAAGTTAGAAGTGTAGCTATGCTATTTTATTTGCTGTTTATATGTGCCTGCATTGTTACTGTTACCTTCAAATAAAGATTATTTTGCAAGAAACGTAAAACTCTGGGTCCATTTTGCTAGGAATAGTTTAGTTAAAACTAGGTAATATAATTCACAAATCCATTGATTCCTGCACATATTTACATCAATATGTCTCAATATGCTGAATAAGTGAAAATGTAAGATCCTCACTTTTTTTATTTTGAGACGGAGTCTTGCTGTGTTGCCCGGGCTGGAGTGTAGTGGCGGAATCTCGGCTCACTGCAACATTCGCCAGGTTCAAGTGATTCTCTTGCTCAGTCTTCATTTCATTCAATTAAGCCTTAATTTGATTTAATCACCTGCTCAATCACCAGGTTCAAGTGATTCTCCTGCTCAGCCTCCTGAGCAGCTGGGATTACAGGTGTGTGCCACCAGGCCCCGCTAATTTTTGTATTTTTAGTAGAGACAGGGTTTCACCATGTTGGTCAGGCTGGTCTCAAACTCCTGACCTCATGACCTGCCCACCTTGGCCTCCCAAAGTGCTGGGATTACAGGCATGAGCCACCACGCCCAGCCAAGGACCTCACTTTTTTTGGGGGGACGGAGTCTCACTCTGTTGCCAAGGCTGGAGTGCAGTGGCCCAATCTCCTCTCACTGCAACCCCTGCCTCCTGGGTTCAAGTGAGTCTCCTTCCTAAGCCTCCCAAGTAGCTGAGACTCCAGGCGTGCGCTATCACGCCCAGCTATTTTTGTGTTTTTAGTAGAGATAAGGTTTCACCATGTTGGCCAGGATGGTCTCGATCTTTTGACCTCCCAAAGTGCTGGGATTACAGGCATGAGCCACCGCACCTGGCCAGATCTCACTTTTAACTGCTCCATGGTGTAGACCTCCTCCAGTTCCCTTATGGCACCTTCCACATCCTGACTCAAGCCTGTTCAACATACGTTCAAACCAAGGACCTGGCCAGTCCACTGTATTCAACACCAGTGAAGCTTAATGTCTTTATCATCTCTCCAGGTCCATGGATTTAAACGTTCAAAGGGGTCTGGCTAAGTATGCAATGACTTTTTAAATTTAACTCCATCTGAGAAAAATGTCCATTTTTCTCACTTGCATAGAGGGGAGTTGGTCATTGAAGTCCCAAAGTCTCAGTTTGAGAAAACCTTGTCTAAAGACATTTTATGGCCTCAGGAAATTTGTTTGGTGAGAGATGCATCAGGAGATATACATATAAATATATATTTGTTTTTTTGAGATGGAGTCTCCCTCTGTTTTCCAGGCTGCAGGGCAGTGGCACAATCTCGGCTCACTGCAACCTCCGCCTCCTGGGCTCAAGTGATTCTCCTGCTTCAGCCTTCCGAGTAGCTGGGATTACAGGTGCATGCCACTGCGCCCAGCTAATTTTTGTATTTTTAGTAGAGGCAGGGTTTCACGTCTTGAACTCTGAGTTAGGTACTTACACACTCTGGATCTCTATTTTCTTATCTCACAATGGGAACAAAGATATTCGCCATGTCTGATTCCCATGGGTGTTAGACTATTTTTTTTCCTAATTGAAAAAGTGACTATCTTTTAGTTTGTAAGAAAAAGACTTGATCCTGCAGTTTTATTTTGTTTTCTCTCTCCCACCTTTCATCTTTTCTTTCTTTCTTTCTTTTTCCCCATACAACGTTCTTTTGGTCTATGGCTTTTACTTTTTTTTTTAAAACCTCTTTGGACAACTCAGAATTTTTATTTTAAAATATCTTTCAGACTGCTCTATTATCTCTGAATTTGGGAGTGCAAGTGCTTTCATTTTTTTGGTAACTAGTGATTGTCATTTATAATAGAGTTTTTAAAATTTATTTTTATTTTTAATTGATGAATAATAATTGTATATATTTATGAGGTACAATGTGATGTTACAGGTATCCATTGTAAAAGTTTAAATCAAGTTAATTAACATATTCATCACGTCACCTACTTATTTTTTGTGGTGAGAACATTTAAAAGCTACTCTTTTAGTGATTTTGAAATATACATTATTATTATTATTATTATTATTTTTGAGGTGGAGTCTTGCTCTGTTGTCAGGCTGGAGTGCAGTGGCATGATCTCAGCTCACGGCAATCTCCTATTCCCGGGTTCAAGTGAGTCTCTTGCCTCAGCCTAATGCGTAGCTGGGACTACAGGTGCGCACCACCACACCCAGCTAATTTTTGTATGTTTTTAGTAGAGACTGGGTTTTACCATGTTGGCCAGGATGCTCTTGATCTCTTGACCTCATGATCTGCCTGCCTCGGCCTCCCAAAGTGCTGGGATTACAGGCATCAGCCCTTGTGCCCGGCTACATTGTTATTAACTACAGTTACCACACTGCAATATGCTAAAACTTCTTCCTCTGATCTAACTGGACCTTTTGTACCCTTTGATCAACACCTCTCCATTCCCCATTTTCTCTGTATGAGGAACAGTTTTTGGTGTGGCTTTAACTTTTGACTTTACGCTCCTCTTAAGTGGAGATTGTTTTCTGTGGGTATTCCATGTAGCCTAGATAATGTGAGTACTCAGGAGCCTTGTTATTCAAAAATCAATCTCTCCTCTACTCAAGAACATTTTTCAGTAATTGCCACTTTTCGCCCCTTCCATATACATTTTTCCTCCCTGCTGGATCATTCTAATCAGCATGTAAGCATGCTGTAAGATCTCCTAGTTTGTCTCGTTTTGCTATTTCTTTTTATAGCAAAACTTCTTGAATGACTGGTCTCTATTTGCTGTTCTCATTCGTCTCTTCCCATTCCTTATTGACCTTGTTCCATTCAGGCTTTCTATACTCCCAATCACTCTTAGTCAAGGTTACCATTGATTTTACTCTCCTGTTGTTAAAAAAATAGTCAATGCTTAATCCTCATCTTACATTTGATCATGGCATTCGATTAGTCGATAATTCCCTCTTTTTTTTTTTTTGTGAGATTGAGTCTTACGCTGTTGCCCAGGCTGGAGTGCAGTGGTGCGATCTAGGCTTACTGCAATCTCCGCCTCCCAGGTTCAAGCCATTCTCTGCTCAGTCTCCCAAGTAGTTGGGATTACAGAAGCCTGCCACCCCCCTCCCTCAGGTAATTTTTGTATTTTTAGTAGAGATGGAGTTTCACTATCTTGGCCAGGCTGGTCTTGAACTCCTGGCCTTGTGGTCTGTCCACCTCGGCCTCCCAAAGTCCTGGGACTGCAGGCATGAGCCGCTGTGCCTGGCTGATGATTCTCTCTTTCTTTGAACACTTTATGCCCTTGGCTTCCCGGATAGCACTCTCCATTTTTCTTCTACCTCAGTAGTTCCTCAATCTCTTTCTCCTTTGATAGATTTTTCTTATTTCCCTGACCCTATATGTTGGTGTGGTCCAGGGCTCAGTCTTTATATCTCTCCGTTTTATTGTCACTCATTGTCTCAGGGTTTAAACATTGATGGGGTGGACACAGTGGCTCACATCTATAATCCCAGCACTTCGAGGCCAAGGCAGGCCAATCACCTGAGGTCAGGAATTTAAGACCAGCCTGGCCAACATGGTGAAACCTCATCTCTACTAAAAGCATAAAAAGTAGCCGGACACAGTGGCATGTACTTGTAATTTCAGCTACTCGAGAGGCTTAGACAGAAGAATCACTTAAACCTGGGGGGCGAGGTTGCAGTAAACTGAGATTCTGGCACTGCCTTGGGCGACAGAGCAAGATTCTGTCTCAAACAACAACGAAAACAACTTTTGCAATTTCCTCTCCCTGGAGGTTCCCACAGATATTCGCAAGACTTGCTTTTTAACTTCAGGTCTGGGTTCAAGGCTGTTTTGTCTGTTAGTCCTTCCCTGACCTTCCCATATAACTTGCCCTCCATCTCTCTCCTCTCCTCTTTGCCCCAGTGTAAGTTTCTTCACAACACCTGTGTTTACCACTTGTGTATTTATTTATTGCCCTGCTCATCCTACAAAATATAAGTCCTGGGAGGGCTGGGACTTTGTGTGTTTAGTTCATTCTTGCTAACATAGCTGTTGGAAGCGTGCTGGGCACATCATCTGGTAAATATTTATTGAATGAGTGAGTGAATAATAGAACTAGATGACACCTTTGAATTATTTCCTAAGCTGAGGTAGGTATCTCCCTATTTTAAAAAATCTTTTGGTTGTTCAGCCTGTTCCAAAAGAAGTGTTTATGTCTTTTCCTAAGGTGCCAGTTTATAAAGAAATTATTAAACTTCAAAGTGTCATTTGCAAATCGGAACCACGTACCAGGATTAGAGTTCTCCACCTGAGGTTTGTGGGTTCCAAGGATGGCTTTCGGGACTGTGTTAGCTCCCTGAATTTGAGTGCAAAGTGTTGTATGTAGATGTGTATGTGCATTTTCCTTGGGAAAAGTTTTGGCTTCCATCAGATTCACAAAGGAGTGAAAACCCAATTAATGGTTTTGAATTATTGTTATCTTCTGTGGATGTTGATCAGCTAAAAGCGAACACATTGAAGATAAAACTCATATAATCTTCCCCTCCAAACCACCTTATCTCTTGACTTTCTTAGAAGCAAAGCACATTGATGTTGGAGGCAACACCCAACGAAGGTATCCCTCTAAATGTGCCTGGTAAATTGTTAGCCACGTTGTCCTCAGGAACTCAAAGCACCACCATCAATCACATGAATATTAGAAACTTCCAGCGGGGTGTGATGGCTCACACCTGTAATTCCAGCACTTTGGGAGGCCGAGGTGCAGGTCAGGAGTTCAAGGCCAGCCTGGGTTTAGTAGAAACCCTGTCTCTACTAAAAATACAAAAAATTAGGGGATGGTGGCAGATCCTGTAATATCAGCCACTTGGGAGGCTGAGGCAGGAGAATCACTTGAACCTGGGAGGCAGAGGTTGCAGTCAGCCCAGGTTGGGCCACTGCACTCCAGCCTGGGTGACAAGAGCGAAACTCCGTCTCAAAAAAAAGAAAGAAAGAAAAAAAAAAAGATTAGAAACTTCCACTAGGTCAGACTGAAACAGTAGTTTCATACATGGGATCTTGTTCAGCCCCTGGGACTTAAGAGAACATGTCAAATCTGTTTTCCACTGGTCAGTTTTTCAGGTACATGAGGATGTAATCCCTTCCCCGCATCAAGCTTTATTTCTCCAGAGGAGATGTCTTCAATTCCTCTAAACATGGGACAGGGACAGGACACATCACCATACTGACAGCTCTTTTTAAAATTTTTATTATTTATATTATTTCCGTAGGTTATAGGGGAACTTAACAGCTCTTTCTTTTCGAATACTCTCCTCTTTGCCAGTTGCCCAAGATGGAACGCCCGAACTTTGACATCATACTTCTTTTTTTTTTTTTTTTTTTTTGAGACGGGGTTTCACTCATGTTACCCAGGCTGAAGTGCAATGGCGCGATCTCGGCTCACCGCAACCTCCGCCTCCTGGGTTCAGGCAATTCTCCTGCCTCAGCCTCCTGACTAGCTGGGATTACAGGCACGCGCCACCATGCCCAGCTAATTTTTTGTATTTTTAGTAGAGACGAGGTTTCACCATGTTGACCAGGATGGTCTCGATCTCTTGACCTCGTGATCCACCCGCCTTTGCCTCTCAAAGTGCTGGGAGACATCATACTTCTATTAATGCAACTTAATGTCACGAGATGGCTGATGCGGCCCAGGACAGGATGCAGTCCAGCAAGACTGGATGCTCAGGAAAGGGTAAGAAGGCCTTACCCTTCTTACTTAAGAAAGGTGTGGAGCTAAGCCGAGGGAGGGGTAGAGAGAAGGGAGAGAGGGTGAAACAATGAGGTAAAATCAGAGGATTCGGCCATTGTTGGTGTGTGGGAAAGGGAAGGAGAAGAGTCAAGGATGACATTTGCTGAGAGGGAGAGAAAGAGGCAGGGAGAGAGACGCGGGTGAAAAGAGGATGAGACCACATTAGACTGGCCCTAACGGAATGGGGAGAAGTGGGAGAGGACCCAGGGTCTGCAGAGCTGGTGAGAGTGGGAGAATGAAGACAGAGGAAGAAGCTTGGGGCAAATCAAATGCCTCTGGGAGGTCAAGTGAGGCAAGAACGGAAAGGTGGAGAAAGGCGCCGGTTGAGAAGCAGGGATCCTGGCAGAGCATTGCAGCTTTGGGTGTGGGACTGGGCGGAAGGGTTCGGGAGAGACAAATGACCTTTGAAGGCCTCGCAGTGCTTGGCCGAGTGCCTGGCACGGAATAGGCGCGCAGTAAATGACGGCGAGTAATGAAGGAACTCAGGAACAGAGTGAGTGAGTAGTGAGTGAGTGACGGAAGGAACGGAGCGTGACGTTGGCGCGGGACCTGCACTGCCGCGGCGGCCGAGAGGGGCGGGGCGTCCCCGACGGCCAATAGGAGCCTCGGATTCAGCCCCGCCCTCGCCCCTAGCTCCGCCCAGTGTCGCACGTCGCTCGCCGGTCGCCGGAGGCGCGCGCAGCCGCCCAGCTCCCGGAAGTGCGCCCGGAGCCGGCGCCGCGGGCCGAGGTGAGCGCGCGTGCGGGGCGGCCCCGGCCTCTGTCCGCTCCGGGTCAGGCCTGGCGCCATCCGCGTCCGCACCTGACTCGGCTGGGCGCCCGGAGCGGTGGAGTGTCTACGGGCTCCCGCGCCCGTGCGTCTGGGAGCGCGCGGGGGACATGGCGAGCGCGGGGCCGGGGCAGCCATGGCTGGGAGTGGACCCTGGGTGCGGGGGGATTTGTGAACCCCATCCCGGCTCTGCGTTCCTGCGCCTGTGCGCCCCGCGGGACCGGCTGGGTCTCTGCGCTGGGACAGAAGGCGGGGTCCTCCCCGCTGCCTTCCCCTGAGGGCATTTTTAAAGATGTTGTTTGAAAATGAGCTTAGGAAAGAGGAAACTCGATGGGATGGTGCTCGGAGTCCCTCCCTCTCGTCAGAGTGCTGTAGGCATTTGAGGGGCGCATGGTGGAGACTACTTCTGCCATGAGCAGCGTTGCCCCGGCCTCGAGCACTAAATGCCGGATACCCCAGCTGCTTGTGACAACCACAAAACGCCCCCACAAATCACCAGACGTTGACTGTGCTCCCCGAAGCAAAGGCATTAGAGCGTCCTTTTTAATCTGGCTGCCCCTTGTGAGCCTCAGAGGTTCCTGAGCTGTACACCGGGACGATTGTGAGAATTAGAAATACATAAGCCGATACATAGTATGTGCTTAACAAATGGTTACTTATATATGTAACCATGTACGTAACTATGTGTGTATATTAAGTACATTTACCTAGGATGTACATTTAAAAATTCATTCTGTTTGCTAAAGGCTTAATAACAGGTGTAAGGGATAACTTTAATTTTTTTTCATAACTAATGGGGGCAATTCCTCATGAGGTCATTGGGATGTAAACGCTATTAAACAATTTTAATACTCTATAAAGTAACTTAATTCTAAATAGCCGAGACATTTTTCTTACCACGCTACCTGGGAGCATAGTATTACTAAAACAAGATTTAAATATTGTATAAAATCTGTAGTTTTCCCAAAATGTCATTTCTTTTAAGTATTATCTAAAGTGCTATCTTAATTTAGGAAACAAATTGGAATAAGTTTACAGGTTAGTATCTTTCTATCTAAAATGTTGCCACTCGTAATTTGAAAGTCTTGAGCCAAACAGGTTGGATTTACAAAGTGAAGGATTTAAAAATATATATTTATTCATTTTTTAAGATGCTACTTGAAACTGTTGGTTTACCTGTGGGCAATGCTTTAGCTGCTTTCCAGGTGGTTTGATATGCTGTTTTTATTATCACTCAGTATGAAAACATATTTTAATTTCATTTATGAGTTTTTTCTTTGACTATGGGTTAACAACGTTATTTAATAATTTCCATAAATTTGGATTTTCTAGTTATCCCTTGTTACTGATTTCTAATTTAAATGCACAGTGATCAGAGAATATATTCCAACCCAGGAAGCTCTAAAGTTTTCCATTTGACCTTTCTGGTTTTTGTTTCTCTTGTGTTCCTTTTCTATCAGATTTTTGGGTTTTTCTTTTCTATCAGTGGTGGGCTTTTTTTTTTTTTTTTTTTTTTTTTTTTTCTTTTTTGGTATTGCTTTAATGGCTTTTTAGCAATACTACCTTGTGTAATATTTTTAGAGCTAACTTTAAGGTATCAATCATTTGAAAATTATGCACATAGTCTGTTTTGATGAATATCCTTTTTGCATTTGAAATGAATGTATGCTTCACAGTTCTTGGGTCTAGTGTTCTGTAAAGTCAATTAGAGCAAGTTGGTTAATAGTGTTCAGATTTTCTGCCTTTGCTGACTTTTTTTTATTTTGGAGATGGAGTCGTGCTCTGTCTTCCAGGCTGGAGTGCAGTGGTGCAGTCTCGGCTCGCTGGAACCCCCGCCTCCCAAGTTCAAGCTATTCTCCTGCCTCAGCCTCTCAAGTAGCTGGAATACAGGTGTACACCACCGTGACCGGCTAATTTTTGTGTTTTTAGTAGAGACAGGGTTTTGCCATCTTGGCCAGGGTGGTCTCAAACTACTGACCTCAGGTGATCCTCCCACTGCGGCCTTCCAAAGTGCTGGGATTACAGGCGTGAGCCACCACACCTGGCCTGGGTTTCTTTTTAAGCAAAAAATAAATTTAATGAGGACCACATAAAAAAATTTGGTATTGGATTACTTTTGACCCTTAACATAGGGTTGAACTGCAGGGATCCATTTATACATGGATTTTTGTCTGCCTCTGTGACTCCTGGGACTGGAAAACCAACCCTTCCTTCTCCTCCTCCCAATCCTTGTCCTCTTCAGGCTACTCAGTTGGAAGATGGTGAAGATGATGGCCTTTGTGGTGATTGACTTCCACTTAGTGGATAGTAAATGTAGTTTTTCTTCCTTGTAATTTTCTTTTTTCTTTTTTTTTTTTTTTGAGACGGAGTTTCGCTCTTGTTACCCAGGCTGGAGCGCAATGGCCCGATCTCGGCTCACCACAACCTCCACCTCCTGGGTTCAGGCAATTCTCCTGCCTCAGCCTCCTGAGTAGCCGGGACTACAGGCACGCGCCACCATGCCCAGCTAATTTATTGTATTTTTAGTAGAGACGGGGTTTCACCATGTTGACCAGGATGGTCTCAATCTCTTGACCTCGTGATCCACCCGCCTCCGCCTCCCAAAGTGCTAGGATTACAGGCGTGAGCCACCGCGCCCGGCCTGTAATTTTCTTAATAATATTTTCTGTAACTTATTTTATCACAAAAATACAGTAACATGCAAAATGTATGTTAATTGACTATTTAAGCATCAGTCAACAGGAGGCTGTTAAGCTTTTGGGGAATCAGAAGTTATATATGGATTTTCTACTATGTGGGGGTTGGCGCCCCTAACTCCTACATTATTCAAAGGTCAACTGTAATTCTTTTGACCTCACTGTTTCGTTTCTTGGGCCCTTGGAAAAATTTGGTGTTTCGGGAGGCTGAGGTGGATGGATCACGAGGTCAGGAGATCAAGACCATCCTGGCTAACACGGTGAAACCCCATCTCTAGTAAAAATACAAAAATTAGCTGGGCATGGTGGTGGGCACCTGTAGTCCCAGCTATTCGGAGGCTGAGGTAGGAGAATCCTTTGAATCCGGGAGGCGGAGGTTGCAGCAAGCCGAGATCACACCACTGCACTCCAGCCTGGGCGACAGAGTGAGACTCTGTCTCAAAGAAAAAAAAAAAGAAAAATGAAAAAATTTGGTGTTTTTTGTTTTAGTTTTTAAATGATTTTCCAATGTAGGATAAATTATTTGGGTGAAATGGTAAGGATGAAGACATTGTTTCCTATACCTTAAGAAATAAGCAGCTACCAAAAGCTAGAGTATTGTACTGATCTCTAGGCTGGATCCCCAAGCGAGTGGGTATTTTTTTATTTATTGTTGTGATTAATCTTAGGGAGAAATGATGACCACCAAATTCTTCATAACATTTAAGGATGGACCCAATAATCCTATATTATGATTACTTGCAAGAAAGTTAACTAGAAATAGTGGATGATCCTTTTAAAATAACAATATTATTTTGCCGTTTAATTTTCTCCTACTGTCTTAGTTGTGCTCTTCTAAATTTTGATACCATTCACATAAAATAGTGATTATTTATATCAAGGCTATAAGAGTATTTTCAAGGTAGTCAGTCTTCTCAATCCTCTTTAACCCCGAGGTTGAAAGTGTCAGGTATGATACTTGTTTTTTTTCACAAATTCTCAAACAGACCTGTTTCAATATGGCACTCAAAAGAGGTCTCTTGGAAATTTCATTATACCTTTTTGGGACGACTTATTTTTAACTTTCTATTTATTATGAAAGCATGTGAATATTTCAACATTAGCTTTTATTCCTAGGGCACTAATATCTTTTTCCAGCTTCATTTTTTAGAATGCAGATATATAAATGAAGATATAGAAGTGTTCTGTAGAAGAGCCATTTACCTGCAAATCTATAGTGAAAATACTTCTTATGATGCATTTTATTCTTCATTTTGTCTGGGCATTTGAAGACCAAGAAAGAGCATTAGAAAATGGGCAGGGAGATGGTGGCTGTTTAGGTATGGTACAGTATCAGTAGTTTGCTTTGTGGCTTCAAGTTTATAATCTTTCAAAATAGAATCATGTATCCATTGGGCAATTTCAAAAGCTCCTATTAAGTAAAGTGCTTCTGAAGTGGAACTGTCTCTGGAAAGAACTAGGTCTTCACCAGGAATGAGACTAAAAAGGGAATGAGATTGAGTGGTATACACAGGAGGGGGACACATTTTCAAAAAAAACAAATTCATATGCCCTGCCCAAGAAGCCTTGGAGTCAACTATGGTGTTAGAGAATCAGAGAATTGGCCATTGGTATGAAAAGCCCCAGCCATTTGGTATCATGAGTGGTATCAGAAAAAAGGCTGATCAGAGACCAGGACCTCGGAACCTCACTGCTCCCAGCAGCACCTCAGGTGAGCTGAGGTACAAAAAAGGTGAAGGGGAAACTTTTTACCTTTTCTTTCTCCTGCCTCTCTTCACCCATTCCCCATCCTGAGGAAACCTCTGATCTGCTGTCACCATATGTTAGTTTGCCTTTTCTAGAATTTTGTAAAAATAGAATCATGCCAAATGTACTCTTATCTTTGTTCTTATGCATATAATGTGTATATATAGCTTCTTTCAGTGTATTCTTATTTTTTAAAACAGTTTGATTTTGATGTGCCTTGGAATAATTTTCACATTTCATGTAGTTGGGATTCATTGAGTTTCTTAGATCTGTGGATGTATAGTTTTCATTAAACTGGAAAAATTTTTGGCCATTATTTCTAAAGCATTTTTTTTTCTGTCTTATTTCTTCTCTCCTTTAAGGGCTTGGGAAATAATATCTGCGGAATGTGTATAATGATAATGTATATATCTGTATCAGAGCTCTTCAAGTTGTCCCACAGCTTACTGATTTTTTTTTTGAAAAATTTTATTTTTATGTCTTCAAGTTCATTAACCTTTTCTTTTATAGCATCTGATCTGCTATGAATCTCATCCAGTATATTTTTCATTGTTTTTGAAGTCTTGGTGTTTTATTTAGGACAGTTTCTATTTTTATGTCTTCAAGCTCATTAATCTTTTCTTCTTACAGCATCTAATCTGCTGTTAATCTTATCCAGTCTATTTTTCATTTTAGATAAATTTTTCACCTCTAGAAGTTTGATTTGGGTCTTTATTATATCTTTCATGTCTATACTTAATGTGTTCAGTCTTTCCTCTAGCTTCTTCAATATATGGAATATAGTTAATGTTTGTATTAATATCCTTATCTACGGATTACTACCTGTATTGGTTCTGTGTCAGTTTTGATAGATTGATTATTCACATTATGAGATTGTTTTCCTGCTTCTTTGTATGCCTGGTAATCTTTGTCTTTTTTGTTTGTTTGTTTTGAGACAGGGTCTCACTTTGTCACCCAGGCTGGAGTGCAGCAGTGTAATCAGCTCACTGCAGTCTTGACCTCCTGGGCTCAAGCCATCCTCCTGCCTCAGCCTCCTGAGTAGCTAGAATTATAGGCATGTGCCACAATGCTTGGCTAATTTTTAAATTTTTATGTAGAGATAGTGTCTTACTATGGTGCCCATGCCTGGTAATCTTTGATTGGATATCAGACATTGTGAATTTTGCCTTGTGGGGTGCTGGATGTTTTTGTATTACTATAAATGTTCCTGAGCTTTTCTATAGGATGCAATTATTTGGACACAGTTTGTTTGTTATATGGCACCAGAGAAACCTTTAGTCTAGTATTATTTTTTCCATGCCAAGGCACTTCTCTTTGGAGTATTCTGAGTAGTCTGATGCCCCTTCATATACCAGGTTTTCCACTCTGCCTGGTGGAAATATAAACTGTTTCCAGCACTGTGTGAACTCAGAGGATTGTTTCCTCTGATTCTTTTGGGCGGCTGTTTCCCAGACTTTGGAGGGGGCGCTCTGTAGATCTCTGGAGCTTTCTGTTTGTACAGCTTCCTCCTCTCAGATTTTTCTACCCTGTCAACTCTAACCATCTTGGCCTTCCCAGACAGACTCTGAGCTCCTTTTGCTCATCTCAGGGAGGATCCCTGGCTCAGCCTGGGTTCCCATTCCTGTGCCGCTGCCCGGATCCTCTGTCTAGGCAGTATGTTTGGATAACTAGAGGGCACTGAATTTGTTTTCCCACTTTCAGGGATCTTGTTCTGCTCTGCTCTGTGTAATGTGCAATGTCTGAAAACTGTTGTTTCATACATTTTGTCCCGTTTTCAGTTGTTTCAGACATAAGGTAAATCCAACAATTCCTAATACTTCATTTTTGCTGTACATAGAAGTCTCTGGGATAGATTTATCTTGGTATGTAGTTAACAATTCTGAAAAGTTGAATTTTGTAAAAATAATTTTTTTTCAGGAAGCTGTATACCTTAATTAAAATATTTAAAACACTGAAGGAACTCCTTTTGGGACTTGGCTTGCAATGTAATATAGAGTGAAGAAGATGAAAATAGAGAAGGCACTAGGTGGTGCTTAATGCAGTATTTCCGACCAGGGTCTGAGCTTCAGCTCTCCAGGCTCAGAGATATAAAAATTCGAATACCAGATTCATAGTTTACTCTGGGGGAAGGTGGATGGGGAGGTGGCAGCAGAGAGACATGCCTTTTTAGTGAATCAAAGGTACCCTTCTGCCTGCTTTCAAGGTCTTCAGAAACCAGATTGTTAAGCAGGATATTGCTTGGTGAAAAAGATTTGGGTATTCAGTGAAATATGTCAACCAGGCTTAGAGGATTATTGTTGTTTCTGTAGTATGTACAGAGTATCCTCACCTGTTCTGGATAACTTAGTCAAAAGATTCAAAATCTTCATCAGTACCAATTTGCTTTTTACAACTGTATTTAAATATACATGTGTGTCTGTATTTCCCTGCCTTTTAGTTAGCAACCATTCAAGCCAAACAAACAAAAGTCATCCCTACCCAATCTGAATATCCCCTCCAAACTAGCAACAGTTATTTGCATCAGAAAGACTTTGATATTTAATGGAATCCTTTGGAAGTAAAGGGAATTTGTAAATTAGTCACTCTCTCTAATCTCTTAAATAAATGAGGAACTTCATAAATAATGCCAGAATAATGATATGGTATCACTACCACTACACAGTAGAATTTCATTAGTAGGAGCCATGGCTCAGTCAGAACCTCACATAGACTCCAGCAATACATTTATTCACCTTCCTCTGTTTTCAAACTTAAAGGAAAGGAACACTGTGTAGGTAACTCAGTGCAAGTTAGTTGTGGTAATTTCTCAAAGACCCACAAGATGGTGCTAGTTCCACACAAAAATAGAATTTTCCCATCAAATCCCATGCTTCTGTCTTTCAGGATAGAAAGTTAGGTTTTCCCTTCTCTTTCAAATAAGAGAAAAAGGCAAGCTGGCTGCCACTGGTGTCTTGCCTCTTCAGTAGGACATTTTATTTGAATGTCCCCAGCTTCTCGGCGGTTCTTTGAGTAAATTTGTGTCTAAGCTGGAGGTACCTTGTTAGTGCTCCTGAAGCAAATTTTCTGGTTTTTGAATGAGCTGATTTTGACCCTTGGGGGTTTTGGTGGCTGTATCCTTTGCTGCCTTGTACCCTTCTTGGTAGCTACAGTTCTGCTGCTCATGGAATAGGTCCTGTGTCAGCAAGCCAGGCAGCCAGGTAGATGTTACTGTGACCAAAAAGACCGAGAACTCCTATATTCGGCAGTGTTTGCTCAAGTGGTTATTTTTAGGAGCTTGTTAAAATAGCTGCATTCACAGAAGATTAACAGAATAAATTGCTAGCTGTTTATACATTAAAAATTAAAAATTTAAAGTCACATTAAAAATGTGGTTATAGTTAATAGTTGACTATGTAGGCCAGGTGCGGAGGCTCATGCCTGTAATCCCAGCACTTTGGGAGGCCAAGGTTGGCAGATCACCTGAGGCTGGGAGTTTGAGACCAGCCTGCCCAACATGGAGAAACCCCGTCTCTACTAAAAACACAAAAAAATTAACTGGGCGTGGTGGTGGGTGCCTGTAATCTCAGCTGTTCGGGAGGCTGAGGTAGGAGAATCGCTTGAACCTTAGGGTTGGAAGTTGTGGTGAGCCAAGATCGCACCATTGCACTCCAACCTGGTCAACAAGAGCAAAACTCTATCTCAATAAATAAATAAATAAATAGTTGACTATGTAATTAAGTGTAAATTGAGGTCACTTTTCAGCTTTCTATCCCTTCCACCCAAAAACATCCAAACTCTCTTTCGTTTGTTTGTTTGGCTTAGCACCTGCTAATTAAACATTTTGGTGTCTCCTTTCTCCTTGAGCCATTTCTACTTCCCTTTGATGTGCTACGGGGCAGACTTGATTTAGGACTGAGAGTAGATTAGTCCGTTTTCACACGGACTAATAAAGACATATCTGAGACTGGGCAATTTACAAAAGAAAGAGGTTTAATTGGACTTACAGTCCCACATGACTGGGGAGGCCTCACAATCATGGTGGAAGGCAAGGAGGAGCAAGTCACATCTTACGTGGATGGGGGCAGGCAAAGAGAGAGCTTGTGCAGGCAAACTCCCATTTTTAAAGCCATCAGATAATGTCTTACTCACTATCACGGTACCAGCACAGGAAAGACCTACCCACTTGATTCAGTTATCTCCCACCGGGTCCCTCTCACAACACGTGGGAATTATGGGAGCTACAAGATGAGATTTGGGTGGGGACACAAAGCCAAACCATATCATAGAGAGCCTTCCCTGAATAGTATATTGTGTACAGTAGGAGGATGACTTAGTAATTCCTCTCCTCATTTCTGTTCCCTGAAGCCTGACTATTCATGATTGTCAATTTTGGGGTTTCTGAAAGTGTGCAGAATCCCTTAATTCTCTCTGCAAACCCTTGGGGTGAGTTTGGGAGACTGCATGTGATAATAATAATATATATTACCTACTGAGGACCTATTTGCTAAGGGCTTTGTTTAACCCCGGCAACATATATCAAGTGCCTCTTCTGTCCTGGGCACAGTCTTGGGAACTCTTGGGAACTGGGAAGGTATTATACAATGGAGAGTATGACAGACAGAGTCCTTTTCTCATGGAGCTTACATTGCTAGTAGAGGCAGCAATCAATCAAATACTTACATGTGTGCATATGCACATGTACATACACATAAATATTTAATAAGCAGATACATTCTGTGAATAAAACAAGTACAGTGTGCAGTGAAAACAGGTGACACTTGCATTATTTATCTCAAACCTCCCAACAGTTGTTTGAGTTTAGTGCCATCATTAGGTGAGGCCTGAAACTCTGGAATGTTAAGAAACTGGCTCAAGGTTACACAGCTAGAAAGTGGCAAGGTAGGGACTTAAAACTCAGTATGTCTGACTCCAGAAAATGGGCTGCTGATCCCTCTGCTCTACAATCTGAGCTTCTAGTAGTCACCTTCTTGGTGGAAGATTGAAATCTGAATTCACGAAAGCAGACCCTAGCTGGATGGTATTCCCAGTTTTATGTCCCCAGTCAGTTTCCATAGGAAAAGCAGGGCTTCTTTTGGAGATTGTGGGGGGACACCTTGCTCCAGAGAACCCACCAGTTTTTCACTGTCTGATGTTAGACTCTAAGAGCAGAACTATAAGAGATTTCAAATATGGCTATAACATCTCTCTTTTCTCTGAATATACCAATCTTTGTTTCAGGGTAAAGCTTACAATGCAGTTGACTCTAACTACATTTTACTGATTTGCACTTGCTTTTCCAACAGATTCCTTTCTAACTTCTTTCTTTTGCTTTTTGAATTTCCTGATTTTAACTAAATAGTGGGACTACCAGGCTCTTCCTGTTCAAAGATCCCTAGTACAGGCACTTGAGTTTTAAAAAAAACAAATAGTATGGAAAAGGCTCCTGTCCTCTGTATGTTCTTCATTCTTAAATAATTCAGCGGAAAAAATGCAGAACGTAAAGTCTAGACGTTTTCTAATTAGGGAAAGAAATACTGATGTAGAGGCTGTTGTTTTCCCTTTGGCCTCTTTGCTCCTTGCACCACTCTCCTGGGATTTCTTAGGCCTTGCAATGGCCAGGATACTATGGCACGTTTCTTTCTACGCAGCTTTCCTTTAGGCAGGGAAGGCAGGTTCAAATACCCTCATTGGATATTTGGAGTCATGGTATCTCATTGGAGTCATGGTACTGTATTTTTTTTTTCCCCAGGAACAGTGGAGACACCTGGATTCTACTCAAAAGGAGCAATACTGGGATCTCATGCTGGAGACCTATGGGAAAATGGTCTCAGGAGGTGAGGGCATGGGTTAGCCTGATGGAAGGAGAAGGAAGTACTGGAAAACAGGCATTTTCTATGCACTCTTAGAGACATCTGCTGAACTTACAATTGCTAGATGAAGGAAATCATTAGAGGCATAGTTGGGAACTGGGGCAAGCTGCAGATAGCAGAATTATAGTAAGAACTTCCTTGTACTGAAAGTATTCAGTGTGCCAGGAACTGTTTGTGGGTACATTGCATGGAGTAACTTCTTTAATCTCTGAAATGGATGATGGTATTCTCATTTTAAGCCTGATGAAAGTGAGTATCAGATCAAATACTTAGCCACTGCCACTTAGCTCATAAGTGGGCTGAGTTATGATGGAACTCAGTTGTGGCTGGCTCTGAGTCCATTCTCTTTTCTAATAAACGACACTTGTCAACCAACCGTTAGTGGCATCCCAGTCACGATTCTCACACCAGCCTGCCAGGCAGTCTACAGACCTTTCTGTTCACCTGCCTAGACTCTTGCTTTTGTGGCCTTTACCATCTGTCAAGGTCACCCTATGAGTACTGGTGTCTTATAAGCTCCACACGCTGTTCTAAGGTGACTTTCTACAAGTGTCCAGAGCCGTCATATTTTCCCGGATGCCTAAGGTGCTCCTTTGAAAGACACAGCTTGAGCTCCCGGCTTCCCCATTCATCAAGGCCCACCATACATCTTTCTCTCTACAGCAGGCATTTCCCATTCCAAACCTGACCTGACTAATTCAATAGAATATGGGGAAGAGCTGGCAGGACTGTACCTTCATGTCAATGAGAAGATCCCAAGACCCAGCTGCATAGGTGAGTAATCTTTCATTGGTCTGGAATCATTTCTGACTGCCTGTCATTACATTGGAGGTGACTGGGGAGGTGGTGAAGGAAGTGTGTGGTGGGGGACGGAATACTCCATTATGTTTGTTATAACTAGCCATGATTTGATTGGTTCGATTTGAATATTGAGATTGACTCTACTTACCTCTGGCTATTGGGCTGTTGACACATATTTAGCCATGGAAGGAAGACCACACGTCAGACTTGCTGCCTTTAATCTTGTCTGTTGTTTTAGCGTTCTTTCTCAGAAAGAATTAAGATTCACACAAATTGAGACCAATACAAATAGAGTAGAATTTCATTGCAAAGGACTATGTCACAGCCATTATTACCCTTCCTAGCAAGAAGTTAAAGTATCTAGACATAAACAGAAAAACATGTTTTATCTAATCTCTATGCACCTAACATTTATTAAACAGCAACATCAACAAATACTGCTTTTTTTTTATTATTGCATTTTACGTTTTGGGGTGCATGTGAAGAACATGCAAGATTGTTGCATAGGTACACACATGGCAGTGTGATTTGCTGCCTTCCTCCCCTTCACCTATATCTGGCATTTCTCCCCATGTTATCCCTCCCCAACTCCCCACCCCCTGCTGTCCCCTCCCATTTCCCCCCAACAGACCCCAGTGTGTAGTGCTTCCCTCCCTGTGTCCATGTGTTCTCATTGTTCAACACCCGCCTATACTTCTTAAAAATAATTTAAGACTGGGGAAGAAGAAATCTGAATTTGTACTCTTAGAAAATAGCAGTCAACCTTTGCTTTCTACACTTTTTCCAAAACATTCAAGTTATGTAAAACCTAACTGTGAAACTTACATACACACACACACACACACACACACACACACACACACACGTACACACACTTTTATATATACAGTAAATCCCAGAACCTCAGAGGAAGAAGAGGACCAAGGATAGGTATTGTTGGGCAAGCCATTCTTTCTCCCCAGTGGGATCTAATTAATTATTTTCTTTTGCCCATATACCACACAGAGAGCAATTATTAGTTGAGATATATTTGATTTTAATTTTACGCAACATATTTATCATGCTATTTCACAACGATTTCTTCTGGAACAGTCTTTTTCAAACTGCATTGCATAACCAATTAGTGAGTTGTGGAATCGTTTGATAGAGTTACAACCAGCATTAAAAAAAAAGAAGCAATACGACTGAATAGGAAATATCAGATGCAGTGGTGGGTCATGTTTCAGGAAATATTTGTTTAAAATATGTGTCTGTGTACTGTGTTTCTATATAAATATATTGATTACTTCTGTGGCTTGGGCTGCTGTAACAAAATACCATAGACTAAGTTACTTAAACAACAAACATTAATTTCTTACGTTTCTGGAGGTTGGGAAGTCCAAGATCAGGGTGCCAGCATGGTTTGCTGACCTCGCTTTTCTTGCTGTGTCTTCACATAGCAGAGAGTGGGGTTGGCGAGAAGGGGAGAAGAGGGGGAGAGCAAGGGAGAGATGGGGGGGAGGTGAAAGAGACCGAGCGAGGATAGGGAACTAATCCCATCATGAGGACTGTGCCCTTAGGACCTCATCTAGACCTAAGCCCTCCCAAAGGTCCCACGCCCCATCTCCACATACCATCATATTGGGGGCTAGGGCTTCAACATAAGAATTTTGGGGGATCATAGTTTAGTCCATAGAACTTACCGTGGGTTGTAGTCAGAAAAAATATTGCTTTGGAGGTTGTTGCAATAGGATTTTTTTTTTTTTTTGGATAGACATATATTTTAGAGCAGTTTTGGGTTTATAGTAGAATTGAGTCGAAGGTACAGAGATTTCCCACATCACTCCTAGTAGTCTGATCTTATTTGCAATATATAGCTCACTGTATTCCTACTCATTTTTTGTTTGTTTATTTTTCCTTTATCTCACCTGCTGACATGGTCCCAGTAGATCCTGCCTTTTACTAGATGTGAGGAGTCTACAAGGGCCATCCTGCCTATGATAGGCAAAAAAAAAAAAAAAAAAAAAAAGCTATTATAGGTTCCTGTCTCCACTGAAAAAAACAAAACAAAACTTAGCTGGGTATGATGGTTGGCACCTGTAATCCCAGCTACTCAGGAGGCTGAGGCAAGAGAATCTCTTGAACTCGGGAGGCCAAGGTTGCAGTGAGCTGAGACTGCACCTGGGCAACAAGAATGAAATTCTGTCTCAAAAAAAAAAAAAAAAAAAAAAGGAGCTGTGGAAAGAGGTTTAGGAAGATGAATCTGGCAGCAATGTGTAGGACAGATAGGAAGGGAACACTTGGAGAAGAGGAGCCTGCAGATAGTCATTGCAGGAGTCCATGTGTGCAGCGAAGAGACCTAGAATAATTGTGGAAGTCACAGTAACCAGACGGGAAAGGCCTGGTTTGAAAAATACAACAGTTTGCCACTTTACCAGATCTGGACTCAGATCGGGGCAAAAGTGAATGCAGCAAGTGAATGTGCTCTTATAGTTGACTACATGGAAAAACAGCTCCTAGTTAAAACAGGCCACCAGGGGGCAGTCTCAAAAAGCCATATACTTAAACTTCTAATCAAAATCCAAAGGATTAAAGTTTTTAAAGTAGTTATCTGGAAGAATATAACATGCAAGAACATTAAAAAAAAAGTTTTGCAAAAAGAATGTTTCATGAATGTTAGATCTGAAAATATTAAGTCTGTTGTATTATAAAGGTAAACATTAAAATGGTGTGATGCTGATATAAAAATAAATGCACAGATCTGTGGAACAGAAAAGGGAGTCTAAAGAGAGATGCTGGTCTGTATAAGAATTTAACATGATCGTGGCTGGCACAGTGGCTCACGCCTGTAATCCCAGCACTTTGGGAGGCTGAGGCGGGCAGATCACCTGAGGTTGGGACTTCAAGACCAGCCTGACCAACATGGAGAAACCCCATCTCTACTAAAAATACAAAATTAACCGGGCATGGTGGCGCATGCCTGTAATCCCAGCTATTCAGGAGGCTGCAGCAGGAGAATTGCTTGAACCCAGGAGGTGGAGGTTGCAGTGAGCCGAGATCACACCATTGCACTCCAGCCTAGGCAACAAGAGCAAAACTCCGTCTCAAAAAACAAACAAACAAAAAAAAACTATACCACTAAATTAGGGTAACTAAATCGGTAAAAAACACTTTTCATCAACATGACAGATAAATGATTATTTTTGTTAATATAGAAGGAGTGAAAGCAAGTTGATAAGAAAAATGTACTTTCCCAGTAAAATATGGGCAGCAGTCTTTGAGTATGAAAAATAGCTCATAAATGTGATAAAGATTCATCCTTTTATAACTTAAAAAGTAAAATTTAAAATGATGAAAAACCATTTTTCTTCCATCTAAATGGCATATGTTTAAAAATATTCAATATGTAAGTATTGAATACCCACTTCCCCCTTGCTCGGTTTCACATATGAGAGGATGGCAGAGTTGTTCTGGACATTGGGTTGCCTGTAGGTGTCAAGAGCCTTAATATTTATGCCAGTTGACACCGTAATTCTACTTTGAGAAATTCCTTTGCGATATTGATGAGAAATGTGGGCAAAAACTTACGAAGAAAAATGCTGATCACAGCATTATTTATAGTAGCAAAAACATAATAAACAAATTAGATTTCCATGGTCGGAGAACAAATTATGTGTTTATTGTGACATCTTCTTGATGGAAGCTTTTTAAAATGATATTTATAAAGCCTTTTTTTTTTTAAAGACAAGAGAAAGTGGGCTGGGCGCGGTGGCTCAAGCCTGTAATCCCAGCACTTTGGGAGGCCGAGGTGGGTGGATCACGAGGTCAAGAGATCGAGACCATCCTGGTCAACATGGTGAAACCCCGTCTCTACAT